AGCATTCGGGATTCATCTGCCCATGAGATTGAGTGAGGTAGACTTACTCAGATTTCTTGCGCAAATCAAAATTCCAGATTTACCATCGTAGGAACTCCATCACAAGGCCTTTAGAAATTTGCAAGGAACATCAATAGATCGCCAATCTTCTCTTTGGCTTCAATTTTCTGTACCTTACGATAAGATTTAGTAAAATCCTGATCCTTCTTAACTAATGATGAATGAAAATCAAACAAAGAATTCTCTCAGCTAACTTAATTGATTGAAATCCCTCTGCTACATTTTCTTCCTTCTTCCTCATTGTGAAGGCTGGATGGGGCCGCATCGATAGGCAAGATGAACGCCTTGCTAAACTTGCACCTTTCAGGCAATCCCACCAATTTTCTGGCTACACAATTTTGACGGGTTGCAACAATAGTTGTGTTGATCTCTGCTAGCAAATGAAATACACAATCTCCCTTTAACATCACGGATAGCATATAGCTTTAGGCTTTAAGAAGATCATACCTTGGGGCCATGAAGATTCAGTGCGAGAAACAAACTCATTGGTCATTCATGATTCTTCTGCTGATTGGAACTCCATTTTTAGTCTCCTAACTCCTTCAATTATCGTCACCACTTTGTACCTCCAAGCTCGCACATCATGCTCCAAAGCTTTATTCTTCTACTCGCAACATATTAATGGTAGAGTTCAAGCTTCTTGCAATCTCCTCTCGAAAGCACATCACTACCTAAACCGAGCCGCACAATGGGCTTCTCACTGTCTTGAAATGATCCGTCATTCAGTAGCCTCAAAACTTGATCCATCATATTATCCACAACAATTCTAACCTTAGCCACCATGCCTTCATCCCCACTGGAAATGATATCCTTCAAGATTTCCCTTTCGGTTGTAGATCTTTTTGGGCGACTTGGCATGGGATGGCATTTGCCCCTCTTCCAAAAGGCTTGGCCTGTGTCACTTTGACGTTGGCACAGTTCCCTCACGCAACCTGCGCTAAAGAAACCAAATATTACATAATCTTTCTGTTTCAAAGATTGGCTCACCATGTGTTAGCACTTAAGCATCAATTTTCTCGTCCAAAAGGGTACTAAGTGAGCCTAAATACGTTCAAAATCACACCGAGACATAATAAGGACAACTTGCATGGAAAAAAGGAACCACCTTTTCTAAACCTCGTGGTTACAATGAGGCGACGCATTCTTTATTTATAAGACAACCCCTCTTCCAGTGAATGCTTAAGACCACTTGCCAGAGACTTCCTATTACATCAATTGTTGGATTAGTCTCTTCTATTTCTCTGTATAAATATTTCCTTTGCAAGTGGGGCCCTCATACAAAAATTCTAAGCTTTAGAAACTTACATTAGGAATATCTACTTCTTCTAGTAGTTTTATTTACCTTTAAAATATCTAATCCTTCCTTAGAAGCCTCTCATGGAAAAATATCTATGAAAGCCCCATAAAATGTTCTTCATACATAGCTCTTGGGGAATCCTAGAAAACTCTAGTGCACTTATGTGACTCAAATGGCTAATTAGTAGAGGTACCCAAAAATAATGGTTGAGGACACACGCCATGCTTTATATATATATAATATTATATATAATATTCTATATATATATATATATAGATCCATCGCCTTCGCCAAGCTTTCCGAGGTTCTCATGTTTTCTTGGTTAATTTCGTCGGTGCCAGTGATAATTTCATAATCGAATGAAGCATCTTTTTCCTTCTTTTTTTTTAATTTTACTTGTTTTCAGTGAATTGTCCACAAAAAGAAATCCGTTAAGAGCTTTTGCCTTCCAGAAGCTTGCTCCCCAAGCAAAAAATAAAAAAAAGGGTCCTACTTGGTTGATAGTCTTTTAGGTCCGTTCAATATAAGAAGGTTTGTATTTAATTAGAAAAAGAATTGCCACCAGAGCGACTTTCTTTAATCCTTCAAACGAAATGATAACTCGAACTTTTGTTTCGATACTAACATTATTGCAAGTGCAATCAACATTAAAGTTTAACTATTCTAATTTTTATATAAAAAGAGTCATTTTAATATCTTAATGTATAATAGATGTTTCTAAGGTTTTTTTATAATATTTGTTCATTTACTATGTAATATTTTGTCTTATCTTATTCATAATTGGTTATGACATATTTATACTTGATTATATTGAAATTATAGTTGCTGCTAATCTTATGTATTTATTTACATGGAAGAGAATTATATTATTTCATATTTTATTCTTTTATAATATATAATTTAATAGATATTTATTTTTAAGCTCTATAATATGCTTGAGAAAGTTCTAGAAATAAAGAAAGAGAAATTTTTAAAAATATGTGAAATGGCGCAATTGTCCTTATATTTTTAGTAAGATGAAAGACAATTTTCTCATGTCCTTCAAACTTTTCCTACCCTCACTAAGTTTTAATAAAGTAGTATAGATAAGTCACTATATGGTGTGCAGATAGAAAAGTATGAATAATAATTATAGGTCTTAGTCAAATG